GTGGTAGCTACACGGCTTGCAGCGGACTGCGGCGGCTAGTTCTGCATGGCAGCGACTGGTTGGCGTGGGACATCGTCGGTAACGATGGCGCTTGCGGTGAGGGCTACTTGTCGTCTCTACTCTTGGTTTGTGGGGGTGCGGCGTGGGGAACTGTTTGGAGTTGAGTGGAGTTGGTATGCCCGTGTTGATGTCTCAATCCAACTGGCAGTTGTTGAGTGTGGTTCATGTCGATGTCCCAATCCGACCGGCTACAGTTATTTTTCTTTTTCTTTTGTTGAGTTTGTTTTGCGACGTGGTTGTTGGTCATTATTATTTCGTTGTGCCCATTTTGGGCTTATCTTCTTTTTAATATAATCGACAGCTCTCCTGTCTGATTCGTTTCAAAAAAAAAATATAATCATGTTGTCTCTTTCTTTAATAAGTTTCCATGTTTCAGTCATCAATTTCCATCCTTCCGTATTTCAATTAAAATATAATCCAAATTCATTTCTTTCCATTTCAACTTCACATAATGTACTTCTAGCCTTGTTTAATCGCAGGTGTCGATTCCATCGAACGACCCATATGGGCGCATGGGTGTGTCTTTATACGGACGCGCGACGTGCACTTAGCTTGTATTGCTCTTGTAGTTGTTGACCCTCTTTGAATTCTTATGCCGTGAGCACTTTCTACCCTCTCTGTCCCGCGATAAAAGACGTTATAGTAAATATAGCATCCACGAAGGTTTAAGATAAAAGACCTGACTACCCCTATAAACTTATGATGACACTGCTGTGCATTTGAGTTGATATGCTCATTAATGCAGTGCTTTCCATCTATTGGACCAGCAACCTGTTCGTTTGGCTGTGGCTTGTCGTAAACGATCGTAAATTTGTAGCCGGAACAGTATTTTTCTCTCACACAAACCAGCCAACAGTACTTCTTCACGAACCAGCAACGAAATGAACCAGCCAACCGAACGGGCTGTAGCTTTTCACATTTCCAGATGCACCTCCCAAGCAGATGCCACATTTTCACTCTACCAGCAGAGCTATAACGTCAAATATTTTGGGACATCATTTGAATGCTGGAACCTCATGTATTCTGCACGGAGGGAGTACTTTTCAATTCTTGTGTCATGAGTCACATCAAACATTTAGTTCTTGTCTTACTTTCATTGGACTAAAACAAATTACTTATTGATTGTCGAAACCTATTTTTACTAGTAGAGCGGTGATGCTACATGACCGTGGCAAAATAGGGCTTTATGTTGCAACCATCACATGTATATATTGATAATGCGTGGTACTATAAACTAACTCTATTAGAAAAATCGAAGGCATTTTAGGTTTGTTCTAAGTCATTTTTTTTAAATTTGACCACAAATATCTGATATTTTACATTGGTTTGCCACACAATTAAATTCATTACAAGCAATACTTTCATAATATATAGTTCATTTATATAGGATAACATAATTTTATTGATTTTTCCAATCAAAGTTAAAAAAAATTAATATAATGCTAGATCCAGGTGTTTGTTGGCCCATCTCCCCATAAAATTGTTTGTCATTTATTGTCCGCTCATTTACTCACCACCGCTTGACTTTCTTCCATTCTCCACACTATTTTCCTCTAGTGCTCTCCAAGGGTATAATGCGCTGATGCATGCCTACCGCCACTGCATGCTCGATTTTTATGCTTGGTTCGTTTGGCTGATAAGTCATGGTTGAAAGTACTGTTGGCTGATTTATTATGAAAGAAAAATACTGTTTATTGGTTGAAAAAGTACAACTTATAAGTCAAGCGAACAAGACGTTAGTTTCTTCTACAGTAGACCTTGAACATTTTGTAACTCCTCCTAGATCTAATAGAGGTATGTCATCCAACGATGCTCTGCCTCGGGATTCCTTACTAGTGAGTCGTTAGAGGCAGACAATGAGCATGGAGCAATGGACACCATAAGAGGAAAGGACAATGAGCACACATGATGATATGAAACAAATAGTACAAGGTGTAGGATCTTGTGGCCCACTATGTGTGGTAAGGGGCAGCACAAAGACGATAAAGACCAACAAAAAGTGCGCAGATTCTGTGGCAGCCATATTGCAAATGTTTTTGAATTATTCTGAAAACATTTTTATATTTTGCAGGAACTTTTTTGCCTTATCATTTCTAGAAATGTACAATGTTGCAACGAGTTTATCGATTATTTTGTGAGTATTGTGTACAAACACCCTTTATACCAAAGTTGTACTGCTGGACAAGATCAAAAATTTTGTAGTTAAAACTTTTCCATTTGAGATTATTTAGAAGTCAAAATATTCAATACATGATTACAAAAATTTAAAATAAACAATATTTAATTATAATTTAATGTATAGTATAGAGGTGCCCACGTCTCTAATACTATTAACAAAGACAGAGAACTTAAGGTGTTCATTTCTACTAATCAACGACCAACACCATTACGGTTTTATTTAGATGCCCTCGTATCCACATGAAACCATATGTATTATATTAGATTGGGGTGGAAAATTAATGAATTTCAATCTCAATCCACTTGAATACACGTAGATTAAGATAAATACAGGTGCATCTAAATAAGCCCTAAGGTGGTTGGTCTACCTGACTTTGCAAATTATTATAGTACAGGTTTGTGTCGTAGCAAAAATCTTCTGAACTAAGAGTAGAATAAAAAGCTTTCAAAAAAAGAGAAGAATAAAAATATCATAATATTTTGAGATCAATAGACACTACAGTGTATATAAGTTTACTAGTTAACATGCACGTGCGTGCCCGCACGTGCGTAGAAGATATTTGTCCTTTTTATTTGCCATTTTCTATCTTGCTTGCCGTTATCATCTTATCCTAGTATTTCCCCCTTTTTTGAAACCAACATTTTTTGATACTTGTATCTGTAAGTTTTGCTGTATATATATATATATATATTTTTTGGTTTCTATATATATATATATATAAGCATGGGCGGCCGTGCAATAAAATATTATTTTTATCAAATTGAATATTGAATTGCATTTATGATGTGGCATGTAAGCAAAATGAGTTTTTAATCTTGCAAGCAATTTACATTTGAATGAATTTATACAAGTGTGCAACACTTGTGTTTAAGCCGTTTCTCATTGTGGTTTTTGGTAGGGCTACATGCGTAGCTATAGAGGGGCTGGATTGTGGTAGGGCTTCGGTCATGTTTGGCAGAGCTCTAGCTCTAAAAAATCAAAAATCTATGTTGCCAAACAGAGCCAAACTTGGATTGCAATGAAAGGTCCTCAGAAGACATAGTCGATGAGTAGGTTAACCAAGCAAAATCTCCAAGTTGATTATTTGATTCAATCCATTGCAATGCTATATTATCAATTACAAATTGTGTTGACTTTTCAAAGACGCACCAAAATAATCTTTGTAGATATAACTGAATTTTGACAAGCTTTGCTGGTGGAGCCGTTTCTCCAGATGGCATTTGGTAGGGCTTCACTTAGTGCCATAGAGTATCTAAAGCTAAAGGCATTCAAAGGGTCTTGCCAGCGAATTGCAATGAAAGGTCCTCAAAAGCCATAGCCGATGAGTAGGTTAACAAAGCAAAATCTCCAATTTGATTTGATTCAATCTATTCCAATGAAAGCTATATTTGTTAGGTACCAATTTTGTTGACTTTTGAATGCTATAATTTGCAAGACGCACTAAACAATCATTGTAGATGCAACTGAATTTTTTAGATCACATTTTGCTAATCACAGAGATTAACATGATCAGGGAAACATAGTATGCTTTCTATTTTTGACATAAAAATATTTCATCGTATTTAATGAATCAATTGAATGATAGTGGGCTGTTGTTCCTCAGTCTATTTGCTTACTAAAAAGTGAATGGTGGACTTTGCAAAATGAAACTGAAACACTAACGAAACAACATCATGAGGCAATGGACTCCTCCAGTCCTTGAACAAAGAAAAACAACATCAAACTTAAAACAAGTGGAGCTAACGTGATGACAAGTGAGGTAATTCCAAATCTATATCCCTGCAAATATAACATCAATAACACGACTAAACTTTTCAAATAGAACCCACCCAATATTCTTATTTCAATGTAGATTGATCTGACATCCAGGAATAGGTAAAGCGACATGAGCAATATAGAAGATTCATTCTAATGATGACTATTGAACAAAACTTATCCATAAAAAAATCATTTGATCAGAGATCAAACACAGTCATCATTCAGATTCATTGTGCTCTATGTAGCCATTCTGAAATTACTCGAAACAAAAGGCGGTGAGATAAAATAAAAAGCGTAACTGAGTATTGCAGCTACAGCTAATTAATTTTTTTCTATTGCATTTTACTAATCAGAGAGATGAACAACATGATCGATAAATGTATTAATGTTTTCTATGTGACATGAAAAATATGATCCTATTTTCCAACCAGATGAATGATAGTGGGGCTGTTGTCAGACAATATTTCTATATGCTATTTCTCTCAATCTACCTGGAGGAAAAAAAACAAAACAAAAAATGTGCTTGTCAGTAACAGACATAGTACAACATAGGACCATATAAATAGGTATTGCATCTTATCTTATAATTAATAAAGCAAAAAAATACAGATCCACAAGCTTCTTAAAATTAATTTCAGAAATACCAGTAACAGACATAGTAGTGCTAATACCTCCAATTTGAAAAAGCTACTATGAGCTAAAATACTTGTGTGTGACCTGCACCAGCACATTGCCTCAGCGCAATGGTAAATTAAGTTATCTGAAATATCCTGATTTATTAATAGCTTGGCGATGAAGGGCGGGCCTGGTGCAAGCGGTAGAGTCTTACCGCATGTGACCGGAAGGTCCCGGGTTTGAGTCGCAGTCTCCTCACATTGCACAGGCGAGGGTAAGGCTGGCCACTGACACCCTTCCCCAGACCACGCACAGAGAGCGGGAGCTCTCTACACTGGGTATGCCATTTTTTATTCATAGCTTGGCGATAGATATGCATGACGAGGCCATGTATGAACCTACAGTCAAAATATACATATTGTGGCTTTGGCATTTTGTCGAACACATTACATTGGCTATCAAGAACAGGAGAGGAAGCATATCAGGATTACTTACTGTTATAGGCGTGGTGAAGACGAAGAGTATGGCACCACATTCGACATGGAGAGGAATAGAGGATAGGTGGTCAGGGTCCTCGTGCCTCTTGAACGGACAGCATGTGGATGGCAACAAAAACAGGCAAAGACCTGAGATCATAAGCAGTTTGAAATCACCTACCATGGCAGGTTGCGATTTGATTGTGCGAGCGATGCAGGGACAGCACCACACCACCTCCGTCCTCTGCTTCCGCTCTATCATCGCTGTCCTCTGCTTCTGCTCCATCATCGTCGCGCGGTATGCACGAGGCATGGCATCCCGTGAGGAGCTGGGGAGCCCAATGGCCGTCGTGTGGAGCTGAGGAGGCTAGCACATGGCCAAGCAAGGATGAAGGAGGGAAGCACAGATGAAGAGCTCCAGCGCCTGGATCTAGAGGTGGATGCGCTACACCTGCTCGAGGAGGAAGGACGACAGAGACGCCGCAGGCGGTGCAGGGTGGTGGGCCTAGACGGGACAACGACGGGGTCACCGGAAGAGAGGGAGGCGCGGTGGAGGAGGAGAGGAGGTGGACGCAGCCACCGGCACGGGAACCATACCCACCGCGCCTGCCGGCGAGGGGTCGCTTGATACCCTCCACAACACCCTACAAGCGGCGCCTCCATGGGCAGTTGGGGGCTCAGGCCTGGGGTCGCCGCTGCCGTAGGCACCGTTCCGCGAGGAGAGCCGCAACGCCACCAGGGGCTGAACCTCCGGCAGCGGCGCCGATGGGATATGGGCAAGCCGCGAAGAAGAACGAGGGAGCGGCGGCGCACACGAGGGAAGGCGAGAGCCGTGGGCCCCCACGAGGTAATATGAGAGAGCATGTAGCGGAGATTGCCGTGCGGCCGTGCGGGTACTGCAGGCGGGTATAATGCGGCTGGTGAAAAAAAAACAGAGCTACGGAGACCGAAGGTGGGATTTTGAGTGGCAGGAACGCGTAATGGTATATTGCGGTCAGCGTAAGATTGATGTATACCGTCCGATCTGAAGACAATAGATCAAATAGAGGTGGGTAACAGGTATTTCTCAATTCCTTCGCTCTTTTATGGTATACTAGCAAAAATACTCGTGCGTTGCAATGGGACACACAGTTTTATTAAATGGTGACTTAAATGACTTGTCACTCGAAATTTATATTTAACTAAAGTGACATGTGTTTCATTTCATCTTCAAATCGACTGTGTTTGCTCTAACTTATACAAACATGAAAAGATTGAAGATTTATCCAACAATACACCATATTTTAATTCATATTATGATTGAACTCCGTGGGCCATGCTCATATAACTTCAGACCAAATACTTTTTTAGAATTAAATATGAGACATCATAGTACCCCTCGTTTGAAGGAAGGATAAAGAATAGAAAAGAATGCTAGGCCTAGACTACTCGGCCGTAGAAACAAAACAAGAAAACATGTATCCCTCATATCTACAATTTTTTTAAATCTTAACATAGACAGTTCAAAACATAAGTTATGACCTATCTATTTCACTATCTGCGAGCTGTTTGATGTTTTGCATTTAGCCATAATCAACCATGAATACCATTTTATGTAGTATTCTGTTTCTATCTGATACAAAACGGATCAAACATAAATAAGATGAACATTGTTACAATATTTTTTGAACCCATAAATATAAGTCATACATTATATATAACCACAATATTTTAAAAAATGTTTGGTAAAACATATTTTCCTCCTAGTTAAAAAGAATGAAATGTCTAAAATATCTTTTTTTTTCTTTTTTCCTCCATTTTTCTCGTCTTTTTTTCTTTATTATTCTCTCTCTCTACCTTTACCTTACCACCAACGCGCGCACAATTGCACACGCATATCGGCTTCAGCACCTCCCAGTCTCGCACATGGCGTGGAAAGCGCCCGTCGTCATGGCTTGCAGTCGTCGTTACACCACACCTCCATGTTGCACTGCTTACTTGCGTGCGGACCCTCCGTGCATGCCTGGCAATGGAGACCGTGGCTTGTTGCTGCCCGCACCCGTCCTCCCAAAGAGCGACTCCTCTCGTGCCCGCGCCAACCCCAAAGAGCAGTGATCTTCCACAAGACGCCTACACGGGGCAAATCGCCTGGGCACCTGAGATATGAGGAAGGAGTAGAGGTAAGCTCTCTCATGTGCCGCATAAGCTTTTCACTTTTGCTTCTTGACCAAAAATCACATGGCAGCTTTCTGTGTTGAAGCGGGGGTGGTTCGCGCGTCTTCCGGTCTGCGGGTGGCGTAGGGCGGTGTGGTGGCGTGTAGGGTGGTCGGCGGTGGCTGGTTGTCCGCCGAGCCGAGCAATGGCCGCAATGCTTGCTTGTGCGCGGGCGTGCGATGGTGCGTCTTCTTGGTGAGGCGGCCGATGGCAACTCACGCGTGGAGGCTAGCTATGCGGAGCAAAGCGTCCGGCAATGCGGCTCAGCAGCGGAGCGGCGAGTGGCGACTTCGAGCGCGTAAACCCGCCTAGTCGAGCAGAGGTGTCCCCTCGTGCGCAGCAAGCAGCCCAACCTGCCTTAACTGTGGCTCAAGCTTGATTTTCCACGTCGTCTTGCAAGCAGATCCGTGTCTCGGTGGCCACCGTCGTTCGCTCATGTACGTAGCACTCCTTGATTTATGTCTTGTATGTTCTATTCGATTCGGTCTGGTTGTCCACGGTGGATTCGATTTGGTGGGATATTTATTTTTTCTTTGGTTTGATTTGGACTTGGATTGGATTGGACTTCAACGGTTGTAAGAGTCTTATTTGGGAGAGGAGTTTTCTTTCTTCCCGTTTCTGTTGTGTTCGAAGCAATTTTTTTACCCGATCTCCACCATCGTTATAAGTAGCCAGACAAAAAAAGAGGTTGAAATTTTGCCTCTTTAGTATTATGTATTGGTATATAGATACATATAAGATAATAAAATATTCTCTCATTTTGTGACTAACAATAATAATAAATAATAATATAAAAAAATTTAAAAGCAAGACGGTGCTTCTGTGGGGCCACACCAGTGGGAAACCTTATTCTCGAACCACTAGCCGGTGGCAGCAATTTACTCAGAATTGTCCATTCATGTTTGGTAATTGTTCTACGCGCTTGCCACGCGTGCTCAGGCTGTCACAATCGCAGTTTATTAGCTCGTGCAATAAGGACTGGACGGACAATGTGGCACTAATTAAACATCCGCCGCGCTGTTTGGGCCGCCAGACTTGGATTTTGGGCCGGCAACAATTCTTCTGGTCCAGTTTACCTGAGCCTGTTGCCATGTTCATCCCGTCGCCGAGGCATGCGGTAGGACACGCCTCAACCCGTCGTCCGCCGGCCGGCCGGCCGCGATCTCGCTCGACTGCTCCGAGATATCCCGTGCGTCGTTGACCTGGGCCCCGATCGCGGATGCTCTCGATCGGAGTCCTGCTGTCCTGTAGCAGACGGTCGGAGCGCTCCTCGATGGTCTCCAGCTTCTCGTGCGCCGACCTGGACTCTGGGCTTTCAACAATTCCTCTGGTCCAGTTTGTGTCGTGGTCTGGACCCCTGGTCCAGTCTTCATTTTCCACACACTGCCAACGAAAACAAATCTGCTGTGGTGCTTCGTTTTTGGAATTATTCTGAGGCCCAGCACCAGCAGGCGTGAGGCCCGGTCGGTCCACGGTCAAAGCCGTCGCGATAACGGGTCGGTCGACGTCCGCGACGCGACGCAACCCGCCGCACAAGCCAGGCTGCTGGTGTGGCGTCACACGGCGTTTTTCTTCTTCTTTTTCCTGGCTGTGGCTGCGCCCGCGTCTCTCCGTGTCCCCGTTGTCGTCGCCGGCGCGGACGGGGAGCGGGAGCGCCGTGTGCGTGTGGTTCTTGTTGTCTGCTGCGACTCGGCCACCGCACCTGCCTGTGAGAGACTGGTTGTGAAAAAGGTTTAGCCCTGGTTTAGTTCGCGAAATTTGGATTTTGGGGCTACTGTAGCACCTTCGTTTTTATTTGGCAAATAGTGTTCAAACATGGACTAATTAGGCTCAAAACGTTCGTCTCGCAATTTCCCATCAAATTGTGCAATTAGTTTTTCTTTTCGTCTATATTTAATGCTCCATGCACGGGCCGCAAATATTCGATGTGACAGGTACTGTAGCAACTTTTTGAAAGTTAGGGTGAAACTAAACAAGGCGTTGCTGAACTGAACTGTCGATGGGACTTCATGGGATGGCGTGTTCTGACAAGTCGGCGAGCCCATTGGAGTGCTGACAATGATCCTACCGTTGGACGGAAGCCATGATCTTTTCCTGCTAGTACGATGTTAGGAACCTGCTTGCCTGTCAGCCTCTCTACCGTACTACTCACTTATGTTTCACCTACAACTATCGTGGTACTCTCTTCCTACTATAATTCATTAATCCTTGACGCCATAGAAATTAAAATTAAGAGGCTTTTTGGTTGACGGCCACACGCCATAGTTATGGCTCGTCACGAGAATCAGAGCACTCAGTTCATTGGTGATTTAAACGAGTTAGCTATAAATTTTTACGGCAAAAATCCCGCCACAAAGTGTGGCGCCGAGAAACCACGCCACCGTGCACGACTTGCCGCACTTTTGGCGTGGCCATCTGTGGCGGCGGGGATCTAAACAATCTCTTAAATTTGTTCTATAATAATACTTGAAGCTGTAGCCTTAGCATGCAGGTTCTATGGTGTCCAGCCATACCAGCTAGTCTATCTATTCCATCACGGTTTTCATAATAAAATACAGAAATGCTATAAAACACACGTGTGTTTTAACGTAAAAAAACACATAAATTTTTTAGCACAGAACACGCGGGGGCGCAGCACCAGCACTGCGCTTTCTGCGCCTCGACTGGCTCACTATCGAGCAGTGCGCAGCACCAGCAGTTCGCATGGAGAATCGCGCCCGGCCGGGGGAACACGACATGACGACCCACGACGAACGGTGGAGGCTGTAATTTGTCCTTCCATAAAAAAAATTATTTTCTGTGATATGTGATCTATGATATGTGAATGTGTGATTTTGTGATTGTCTGGAGTTAGAAGAAGGCTAAAGGTAAAAGAAGATGGAGGCTGTTGGATCTTAATCTTATGGTAAAAAAAATTCATGTGTTGAAATTATATAAAACACATACTCAAGAAAATGCAGTAGTAACTGGCTAGCAGGTGCTCTCCCTCTCTGGGCGTCCCCAACAACCATCGATGTTGCTAGCTGACTAGGATCGGGATCTAGCCGAGAGTGAATTGGAGAGGAGAGAGAGCGCAAAAATCAACTAGTTAGCGCTTCCTCCGTCACTAGCTAGGAGCGCGTTACCCAAGAATGCAAGCACGGTGGTTGGTCCAAGCCGTTTTCCTCTTCCTTGCAGCATGGATTCAACATATTTAGGAGAGTGAAGATAGGAATAAAAAATTTCTTACATGTAGGACCGACATGGATGAGTTGGCATCAAATAGCTAGCCGCAGGCTAGCAGCCTGTTCGTTTCGGCTGGATTAGCTTATAAGCCATGGCTGAAAGTACTGTTGACTGATTTGGTATGAGAGAAAAATACTATTCGTTGGCTGATAAGCCAAGGCTTATAAGTCGAATACATACTGCCGAACAGGCTGTAGATTGTTAGAGATGATTTTGTGCTCCAGTGTGTGGGTCCAACACCAGGGGCAGACCTAGTACACACGGAACGAGGGCACACGCTGTCACTAAAGTTCTGGGTTTTAAAAGAAAACATTCCTTCCTTGATGTAGTTGCGGAGGTGTATTAGTAGCGGTCCATCACTACATAAATAGAATGTTGGATTTAATGTGGACCTGACCTATATATTATTAAATTAAATTAAATAAATACTAGGTCCATATTTAATGTTGTGGTGCCGTTTTAGTCTCATATGAGATTTTGACTAAATATTAACTCAACTTAAATATGTGAACTAAGTGTGCTCCTATTAAAAAGTTGCGAGAGGCTAAGGACGTGCCATGAGCTGGGCGTGAGGAGCGTGACGTGCCACTCCATGATATGATGTTGTGCGAGTTCGGCTTGGTTTTACCGCTCGAACTAATTGATGAATGATTACTGGAGGTATTACTGGGATTGAGAGCATTGTTGGTTCCATGGAGTAATAGCAGGAGTTTCTATTTCTATTTGTAACTCCCTGCGTCCGTAATGCTTCGGTGATTATATTACTCCATCGATTCATTCCCCAACGCTCCGTCTTCTCTCCGCTCACCTAAGCACTCCATCCTTGCTAGCCAAGCACATCTCTCTATTGAGTTTCTCCCGAATTTCCCCAATCTAGTCTTCTGCACGCATAGAAGATTGGACAACAAGCCTTCGGAACCGTCGTCTGCGTTCGTGACATATTCTCAGGTGTGCCGAGCGATCAGGTGTTTGGGGAGTCAACGGCGTGACTGCTGTTGCTTTTGCATCGTCTACTTTCTGGTGGACGTTTATGGGACTGCACTACAAACATCGACCTGCATCGATTGTGATTCGCAACTTTGAGCAACCTACTATGGCCCTGTTCGGCTTACCTCATATTCGGCTTGTTCGGCTTCTTTTTTTCAGTCGGAACAGTGTTTTTCTCTCACAATAATTCAGCCGCAACAATGTTTTTCAACCAAGTTTCAGACCAGCGAACGGGACCATGTCGACTAGTGTGCCTGAAGCCACCAGAGTCGAGGCTCTCTGGTCAATTCAGTAGTTTATTCATATTGATCAATATGTTTGTCTTGTATGTGGTTGTTACCGTTGCAAGTAGTAATAGTTCACACATGCACACATGTGTCATCACATATTTTGCTATGGTATTTCTGGATTAAATTTAACATTAAAATACCTAAATCTCTAACACAGAATAGATCAAATGGCTATAATCGATGATGATTATAAAAATTTACAAAATTAAAAGTAAGAACCTTCTGATTAATCGGAGAATTTTAATTTCTTTTTCTTGTGCGTATAGCGAGGGTTAATGTAATGAATTATTTGGGGCCACCCAGCCAGGTTGACGAGGCCTTTTCTAGTGTAAATGGAAGGAACGTAACTAGGGGTCCGGAGCGGAGCGTCAAGCACGTCTGGTTGATCCACTGTTTTTCATCAACATATATTATTGCATTTGTCATATATGGGTCCTGATGTAGGTGACATCGTGCCGGCCACGTTTGTTGCTTGACCTTGACCCCCAAGTCATCCTGGTACTCCATTATTGGTGACTCAGGAAGTCTGGGCATCATCACTGTTTCTTCTTCTTTATAATAGCGACGACAGATGACAGCTAAAATCCTGGTACGCCACTTTTGACTTATATTTGCTGAAGGAGGAGGCGATCGAGCATCAGCATCTATTCAGCGAGCAGTATAAATAGAGCAATGATGCTTGCCAATGGGCCGGACAGTGCGTTGTTTCCAACGCCCGGTGTTGGCTGCCTACCTGGGTGAATAGTGCAACATTCTTCAGGTCTCCTCCTCCCCGCATTGGCCGACGTCTAAGTGCATGTAAGCATCATCACACTTGTTAAAGCTCTCTTGAATCTTGATTGTCTCTCATTCGTGTGGCCATCAGATTATGTTGAAAAAAAGGAAACAAATCCACGCTGCATGCCGATCATCGGCAGCTTGTTACTCCCTACCTTAGGAATTTTAGGACATATCATATGAGGTACTACAAATGATGCATGTAACCCTCTTAACTATAGAAAACTTTGCACTTACCATATTTGAAGCTTGGTGTAGGCACACATATGATTGGGACTTTGGGGTAGTTAATTCATCTAGAATACTTTGTAATTTGGGCCAAATTTTGAATGCTTCAATACTTATATTTTTACGATAGAGGGGGTAGAAAGAAAACATATATGTTTTTTCCTGCCTCTGCGACTGGAGAACATATATGTTACTGTGTTAATTAATAAGGGTTAATGGCAAAGCTGACAACATGGGTAGAAGAAGGAAAATTCAACAGGAAAAAACAATACACGCAATCAATAACACATGAAAATGAATATGGTTTTCGATTTCTCTAGTTCGTATCTCAAGCGGCAGAAGCCCACAACATAACAAAATGAGTAAAATACAGTGGTGGTTTCTAAATCCGAAAGACGTGGCATCTAGATATCAAACTTCAATTTTTTTTATTTATGGTTCTCTTAACTTGTCATGAGATTCCGTACTAGTGCAAATAGGTTTTGACCCCTCTATACGCCGACTTGGAATACTAACTCAGTGCTGACGTGAATCTAACATGTTGGTGTTGGGTTCAGTAACTAAACTTGCGCAGTGGTGCCATCTAAGTTTCGAGCTTCAAATTTGCATATCCAGTGCCCCAAACTTGCTAAATGGAGTTTGGTTCATTGTTACCTGATATTTCTTTTTTTTTCTGTGTATGCACATAACCATGGTCTATTAAACCAGGGTAGCAAAAGTGGCCATGAAGCCTACTACAGTCGGACAGTGTTTCTTGGTGATAATAATAGCGAGCTGCACACATGTTGTCATCTGCTCTTCCAATGGAAACTACAAAGATAGGCTCTCACTACTGGAGTTCAAAAAGACAATAAGTCTTGATCCACAGCAAGCTTTGATGTCTTGGAATGGCAGCACCCATCTCTGCAGTTGGGAAGGTGTCCTGTGTTCAGTCAAGAACCCAAGTCGTGTCACTTCTCTTAACCTCACTAATCGAGGTCTAGTAGGGCAAATATCCCCTTCACTTGGGAACCTAACATTCCTCAAAGTCCTTGTCCTATCGGCTAATTCATTCAGTGGAGAGATCCCTATCTCCCTTGGTCACTTGAATCGCCTCCAGATCCTCAGCATGGAAAATAACATGCTGCAAGGAAGGATACCTGCTCTTGCAAACTGCTCAAAACTAACAGAGCTATGGTTGGCAAACAACCAACTAACCGGACAGATTCCTGCAGATTTTCCTCAGAGCCTTGAGAGTCTTGATCTCACCACAAATAATCTTACTGGAACCATCCCTGATTCTGTTGCCAATCTCACAAGGCTACAATTATTTAGCTGTGCCATGAATGAAATCGAGGGGAACATTCCAAATGAGTTTGCAAACTTGCTGGGGCTGCGGATCCTCCGCGTCAGTATCAATCAGTTGTCTGGTCAGTTTCCACAGGCAGTCCTGAATCTTTCAAATCTTGCTGTACTTTCACTTGCTGTAAACAATTTCTCTGGTGTTGTACCATCTGGTATCGGTAACTCTCTGCCTGATCTTGAGGCAATATTATTGGATGTCAACTTCTTTCATGGGCATATGCCATCTTCTTTGACAAACGCTTCCAAACTGATCGTTATTGATATATCACGCAATAACTTCACCGGCGTGGTGCCTAGCTCCTTTGGAAAACTTTCTAAACTATTAAGTCTAAATCTTGAACGCAATAATCTCCAAGCGCAAAACAAACAAGACTGGAGGTTTATGGACAGCTTAGCCAATTGCACTGGTCTAAATGCATTCTCGGTAGGATATAACTATCTTACGGGTAAAGTGCCGAATTCTGTAGGTAATCTTTCCAGTCAGCTCCAGGGTCTATACTTGGGAGGAAACCAACTCACAGGGATTTTCCTTCTGGTATAGCAAACCTTCGTAACCTAGTCACTGTCAGTTTGTTTGACAATAAATTCACCAGTGTGCTTCCAGAGTGGCTTGGGACTATTCACAGTCTGCAAGTAGTACAGTTAACCAACAATTTCTTTACAGGGCCCATTCCATCATCCTTCTCAAACCTGTCTCAATTGGTGTCGCTCGCTCTAGAATCGAACCAGTTAAATGGAGAGATACCGCCAAGCCTAGGGAACCTCCAAGTGCTTCAGGCACTACTCATTTCTTTCAACAATCTTCATGGCACTATACCGAAAGAAATCTTTGCAATTCCAACAATAGTGAGAATTAGCTTATCCTTTAACAGCCTACATGGACCACTTCATGCCGACATTGGGAATGCCAAACAACTCACATATTTGGAAATCTCATCAAACAATCTGTCTGGAGAGATACCTAGTACTTTGGGTAATTGTGAAAGTTTGCAAATTATCGAGCTGGGAAATAATTTTTTCAGTGGAAGCATCCCGCCTTTGCTTGGTAATATAAGTAACCTAAATAATCTCAACTTATCTCATAATAACCTGACTGGGTCAATACCAGTAGCTCTTAGTGGCCTACAGTTCCTTGAGCAACTTGATTTGTCATTCAACCATCTAAAGGGTGAGGTGCCAACAAAAGGAATCTTCAAGAATGTGACAGCTTTATGGATTGATGGAAATCAGGGGCTTTGTGGTGGACCACTGGGCTTACACCTACTTGCATGTCCTACCATGCAACCAAATTCAGCTAAGCACAAGCTTTCAGTTATCCGAAAAATAGTCATCCTGGCAGCCATAGTGCTGGTATTTGCAGCAGTCTTTGCTATTTTGTTGCTTCGTAGGCGAAAACAGAAGGCAAATGCTATCTCTTTACCCTCTGTTGGTGAATTCCCCAGAATTTCTTACAGTGATCTTGTTAGAGCGACAGAAGGCTTTGCAACATCCAATCTAATTGGTCAGGGAAGATATGGTTCCGTCTATCAAGGAAAATTGTCTCCAGACGGAAAATCCGTTGCTGTCAAAGTCTTCAGTCTAGAGACAAGAGGAGCACAAAAGAGCTTCATTGCAGAGTGCAGCGCTTTGAGAAATGTGCGGCATCGCAATCTAGTTCGTATCCTAACTGCATGCTCAAGCATTCATCCTAATGGAAATGATTTCAAAGCTTTGGTGTATGAGTTCATGCCACGAGGAGACCTGCATAACTTGTTGTACTCGGCTCGAGACAGTGAAGGCTCTCCATATTTTATCCCACTAGCTCAGAGATTAAGCATCATGCTGGATGTATCAGAAGCTCTGGCGTATCTACACCATAACCACCAAGGAACCATTGTACATTGTGATCTGAAACCTAGTAACATTCTTCTGGATGATAATATGGTAGCTCATGTTGGAGACTTTGGGTTAGCAAGGTTCAAAATTGACTCAACAGCATCATCTTTTGTTGACTCAAGTTGTAGTTCTTCAGTTGCAATCAAGGGAACCATTGGATACATTGCTCCAGGTACCATCCCTTACACATTGTGTTGTCTAACTAAATAATGATGAATTGTACAACTTCTGTATTTTACTTGAACTAAACTACATCCTATATGTTATATACAGAATGTGCTGTGGACGGTCAAGCTTCGACTGCGGCAGATGTCTACAGCTTCGGAGTTATTCTTCTCGAGATGTTCATCCGTAGGAGCCCAACAGATGAAATGTTCAAAGATGGGATGAACATTGCAAAGTTATCAGAGATCAACTTGTCTGATAATGTGTTGCAGATTGTTGATCCACAGTTGCTGCAAGAGATGAGTCACAGTGAGGACATTCCAATGGCGATCAGGGACAGTGGACCACAAATTCTGCAGTCTGTGCTGAGCATTGGACTCTGTTGCACCAAGGCATCCCCCAACGAGCGCATCAGCATGGAGGAGGTGGCTGCCAAACTACATGGGATCCAGGATGCATATATCAGAGGAAATTGGAGGAGCAGTCCATCAGCTAGCTAATGTTTCGAATGAAGAGCTTGATGAATTCCAATTTATATACGTTTCATCTTGTTCTATGTGTTTGTTGTTTACTAGAATATCCTAAGATCATCATATCTTTGTATTAAGAAGAATGCATTTCTTTATTAATAAGAAAAGAGGAAGCAAATGTCTGCCGAGGCAGGTAATTGAATCAACAGCCACACTATTCGGTGATGTGTTTCTTGTTTGATTGCTGCCCTTTTCGAAATAAAAAATAGTGGGTTGAAAGCACATATCTGTGGTGTTCTGTTCCCTATTACGGATGAAAAATGTGAAGGCATCAAGCACGCTACTTGAGCATCCACTGTCTCAGCCGGTGGGAATGGTTTTCCATGAAGTTTTAGCCATGGGTCGTACGACCAGTGCAAAAAAAAAAGGACATAAGTGGAACTGTTTCTGTACTACCATTTGCTTATTTATTTATTTAGCCCCTATTGCTATAAAACATGAAAAGAAAAAAATATATTGTATTTTATATATGGATATGATCAAAAATGGTAAACAATATTAATGAAACGATGCACTAGTGGTTGGAAAATTCCATTAGTTACATACATCTTTGGTAAAGGATGTATAGTGGTTTCGTAACCATGGCTAGTGATTTGGGTGATCGATGTGTGAAACTTTGGAGGTTAATACTCAAAACACGAGAAGGTTTATCCTGGTTCGGGCTCAGGGCTCTATGTCCAGCAAAGGAAGATTTTGTGTTAGAGTGTTCGAGAGAGTTTACGCTTGGGGTAGAAGAGCGATGAGCTAGTTCTCTAATGGGGTAGCGATCTATTGAGCGATGCCTCCAATAGCCCATGCATCTATGGTGCCCCTTGTCCAACCTTATATCTCCGGCAGGCCAGGGGATTACAAAAGTGATATGATGGCTTTCTTGGCTGGCAAGGAAGGCGGTTTCCGTTGGCCGGCAAGGAAGGTCCTATGCCTCACTGCCCTGGTGTTCGAGCAGTTCGGGGTGTCATCCGACTCTAACCCGACGGTCGTGGCTGATTAGCTCCTTTCATGATGCCAGAGCCTTTGCAGGTGGCCTCGGCAGGCTTGCTAGCCGGTGGGCTCTTCAGTCCACCCGTCCCAGTCTGCTTGTCCTTGGCGCTCAGTGCACGCCAGGGGTGCGAGGTCCTGAAAACGCTGACGCGTGGTGCTCGCATATTCAGCAGCTTCCCTGGGGGCGAAGAGGCCAGTACGTGAGCCCCTTGTTGTGTTTCGTCATGCTTTGGTATGACCCTTACCAAAGCAGGAAAGCGGCGTCCTGCTCAAGCAGGGGAACAACGCCCTAACAAACTGACATTAATGCACTCCTACTCAGGTGTCAGGCAGCCACCCCACATCCCTAGGTGTGTACTCCAGATCTCTCCTATGAAATCCTTGTCGGCTTCCCTGCGGACCGCGCTATGAGGAACCTTCGTCCAACTGAACCCTTTCATGAGATGGCCTAAGCAACAGGCTCCGGGTCCCTATCCGCCGAGCCACATTTTGTTTGGTCAGAGCCCCCGACCGATGGGAAATGGAGTGGGCCTAAGCGAGGAGCTCTGGCTCCCATCCACTGAACCACATTCGGTCAGTTGGAGCCCCTAACCGATGGAGAGTCGAGTGGGCTCGAGCAAGGAGCTCTAGCCACCCGTCCACCAAACCACATTCGAGCAGCGCCGCTTCCCTAGAAACGCTCCCCTGCTATCTTACTTCTGGAGCTCAATAGTTTGGATGTAATGTAACCTCTATCTTTCCCTTGGTTCATGTATCGTGCTCATGTAATTGGCGACACGCCTAAACCTAGGCTAAGGCCCTCCACTCATCAGACTTGTCTGGAACCAGTGGTAATATAATCGGGTGGGGACTCATCGTCCCCCCCCTGTTAGTTGCTAAAAAATGCCCAAGATCAATGAGGAGTTGAGTGGGCCATCCGTTTCTCAGGGTAGTCTGAGCCCTCAGGGCTTCTATCGATGTCCAGCAGGAGTGCGCGAGCACACCCGCTGGGTATAACCCTAAGCTCCTGATTGATTAGTAGAATCAACTAGGGGGCTACTTGTTGACAGCCAAAATTATCCAAAGTGCGTAATGGATTCCGCCATCATGTTTCTATGAGACGGTCAGAAAGCATACTTTGATCATCTCATTTGGAGCCCAAACGTAGAAGGCAACTTTTCTAGGGGGGACTGGCCTAGCCAAAACTGGCCTGGCCAGTTCCCAAAACCAACCAAGCTGGATTTTTCTACTTCCTCAAATGGAAGAACGGATTGGACCACTGCATTCCTCTCATCGAGCTAATTGAAAAACATATAAGGATCGCCTCGTTTAAAGTATGGATGAATTATGATTTTCGAAAGGTATTCAGCCCTAGACCTGCAAAAACCGGCCAAGTCGGTTAGGACAGGCCTAGATCTGATCTACTTCGTGTTTTGATGCATTTTGGAAGGGTTTTCGACCCATTGTGGGATAAGACCAGCCCTTCTCATAAATATAAGGGCCACAACCGATTGAGGTGCCCAACACATACAATGGACACAAAACCAATTTACCACCTCTCTTTTACTCTCTTTCACCATCTACTTCTTCTCGTTCTTCATAGCCGTTGCATGTCTGGTGGATCGACGACAGTGAAACTCTAGAGCGGTCAGGCTGGCTAGGGCAGCCCATAGCCGCCGCACACCACGCCGGGACCCGTCCTGAACGTGCGGGGTTTCGAGTTTTAAGAGACCTCGCCAGCATGTCTGGTGTATTGTGCTCCTGACAAGGCTCCTCCAGCGACGTGTCTTGCGTATCACGCTCATTGCTGGAGGCACCAGGTTCGAGTGCGAACAAACCCTAGGCACCGGCCGACCTAAAAGTCGGCTAAGCCCTACATCGAGCAATCTAGCTCCTTACCGGTACGGTGACCTATTAAGCTTCAACATACTCTTTTCATAAAGGTGTTTAGTAAATGGTTTATGCCAACCTTGTGTTAGATATTCGTCAGGATGCCACATCATTTATAGTACTTTGTGTTAATAAAACAAAGAGCCAACATCTAATACCTAGTGTCATTGTCTTGTTTTATAGGCTATTCGTCGTAGCGTTGGAGGATCATAAAAAATAAAATGAAAATTTTGCCTACAACCCCAACATAGAATATTCATTTCAAGTTTTCGAATGAGATTACACCCAATTTAATCTGGATGAGACAATATTTTCCAAAAGGGCAGCAAGAGATTTGCTATAGGTGAGACAATATGATACTAATAAGAATGAAAAAAAATCCAAGTGCATTGAGCGATATGTTTTTGTATTTTTTTGCTACTAAAATATAAAAAAAGTGAGACGGACATATCGCGTGCCAAGCCGTGACGGCTTGTATTCAATATGAATTCTATTTGAATTGGGCTAGCGCTTGGACGTCCGAACGGACACCCGAGGCTGCAGTCCGTTTCCATGTGAAACACGAGGGCCCGCGCCGCTCAGACGTCGCCCGCCTGCGCCTGTGTTCCGTGCGCTCACGTGGGGGCCCGTGCAGCGCAGGAACCGCTCGTGCCCCCTCCCGTTTCCCACGTGCATCCTATTTGCAACATGTCGATGTACTTTTGAAATATCATGATACAATACTTGCAACATACAAAAGAAGATAGATAAAATAATTGAAACATATGTCAGAAACACTTGCAAAGATACGTAAAAAAAATACATGAAAGCCATTGCAAACGTACGCAACGTCTAGATAAAACACTTGCAACATACGTGTAAAACATATGCAACATGCAGATAAACACACTTGCAACATACGTCGAAAAAAAACAGATGAAACATTGGGAACGGATACTTACAACATACGTGTAAAAAAACCATTACAACATCCCGATCTACTTTTACAATATCTGTACGAAGCACTTGTGGCCTACCTGGGCGCTGCGGCTCGGGTATGGCGGTGACGAAGGACAGGGCCGACGTGGGCGAAGAGTTTGGCGACGAAGATGGTGGTGTGGCCCTGAGCCTCGGCACCTTCGTTCCACTATAGAAGCGTGGGGCGAATCTGTGCAGGTGCGCGGACAGGAGCGAGCTACACGGGTGGGAGCGAGTGGATTTTTTTTTGTGTGATAAGAGGCGAGCGGAGCTTTTGTCCGTGTGTATATGTGCCCCATGGAAAAGGAGTGTCCGAACGCCCTAAACAAAGCGTTACCGATTTGAATTTCATGTAGAGAGTGCTCTCTGCTAAAAAAAAATGTAGATAGTGCTCTCCGCGCTTGCCACGCGGTGATCAGTCGATCACGTACGCTGTTTTTCAACTACTGAGCTCACGGCTTCGAAGACGATTTGGCACACGGCTTTATAATTTGCCCGCCCCGTCATGTACACTTGGGCTCAAGCCCAACCGTCGAGCAGTTTAAGGCCAGTTAAACACAAGACTAGGCGTTTATTTTTTAGAACCACGGAAACTCGTTTGCCTTGGCATCGATCCTTGCGCTAAAAGCAACAAAACAACTGAGGCGCGCCAATGTCCAGTAATCCGTCGAACTGTAGTATTATTAGGGCACTCCCAACACAGAACCTAGTAGTTTCTATAGGAATTAAATGAACCTGTCACATAAATAAAAATCTGATGTGGCAACCGATTTAGCTATGAAAGAGATGAAAATATGAAGAAACGACGTGTAAAGAACAAACTGTCTTCACAGGAACCGAGAGCGGAAGAAACGACGGGAACTCCGTTGGGGACGACACCTTCGTTTCTATTCCCTTGCTCTAGATCCCGTGCAGTGTGCTCCTGCATCCTCCTTCCGCGCCGGCTGCTTTCCCTCCCCGCCCGCTCTCCCCCCACGCCGCCGGCTTTCCCTTCCCGGCCGCTAGCTCTCCTTCGCGGGTCTCGGCGAGCTGACCGAGTATGCCGGAGCTCCGGTCTCGGCCCGACGCCACCACACTGCCTTCCCCATCGAGGCTCGAGTGCTCGACGCCCATCCCCGTCTCCGTCCTGGCTGCCAGTGCGCCCGCCGCCGCGCGCGCCCAGC